CCTTGGCCTCCCAAAGTGCTGGGATTACAGGCTTGAGCCACCGCGCCCGGCCTGTCTTTAGTATTTAAATCAATCCTGCCTGCTCTCAGGCCAAGAAGGTACTACATGAATTTCTGGCATGTAGTTTCAGCCTTACCTGCACAAAGGACCACAACAGTTCATTGCGGCTTTTTTTTTTTGAGAGAGAGTCTTGCTGTGTTGCCCAGGCTGGAGTGCAGTGGCGAGATCTCAGATCACTGCAACTTCCGCCTCCTGGTTCAAGCGATTCTCCTGCCTCAGCCTCCCGAGTAGCTGGGATTACAGGAATGCGCCGCCACCCCCCACCAGCTAATTTTTGTATTTTTAGTAGAGGTGGGGTTTTACCATGTTGGCCAGGCTGGCCTCGAACTCCTGACCTCAGGTAATCCACCCACCTCAGCCTTCCAAAGTGCTAGGATTACAGGTGTGAGCTAGCACCTGGCCTTATGTGGCTTCTTAAGTATGCTTCATTTTGGTAAAAGAAAAATGTTTATCAAAGTCACCATATTGCAGGAAAATGCAATATTTTCCTGCATTTTGAACTGCTATGTGAACACATTCACCGTTAGCATTTTGATATTTCCCTTCAGCCTTTCTCTAATGTACAAGTACTAAGATTGCATTTTTCACTTGGAACTCTGTATTTTTCCATATCATGATGTTCACCTACTTCAGAGAGGAACTCGATACAGATGAATATGAAGAAACCAAAAAGGAAACTCTGGAGCAACTAAGTGAATTTAATGATTCACTGAAGAAAATTATGTCTGGAAATATGACCTTGGTAGATGAACTAAGTGGAATGCAGCTGGTAAGTATAACATATAGGTGACAGAGGACGGACTTTGTTTTCTGGTTTTTGTTTTTGTTGGAGATGCATTCTTTCTCTGTCGCCCAGGCTAGAGTGCAGTGGGGCAGTCTCGGCTCACTGCAGCGTCCGCCTCCCAGGTTCAAGCAATTCTCCTCACTCAGCCTCCAGAGTAGCTGGGATTATGGGCACCCGCCTCCACACCCAGCTAATTTTTGTATTTTTAGTAGAGACGGAGTTTCACCATGTTGGCCAGGCTGGTTTTTGAACTCCTGACCTCAAGTGATCCTCCCACCTCGGCCTCCCAAAGTGCTCGGATTACAGGCATGAGCCACCATGCCCTGCTGGTTCCTTTTTTTTTGAGAGAGGGTCTCTCTGTGTCACCCAGGCTGGAGTGCAGTGACACAATCATGGCTCACTACAGCCTTGTTCTTCAGGGCTCAAGTGATCCTCCTGCCTCAGCCTCCCAAAGATTATGGGCATGAACTACCATACCCAGCTTTTTTATAAATATATTTCAAGCTGGGTGTGGTGGTGCCTGCTTATAATCCCAGGTACTCCAGAGGCTGAGGCATGATGCAGGAGGACTGCTTTGAGCCCAGGAGTTCAGGACCAGCCTGGGCAACATAGTGAGACCCCTATCTCTAAATAAAAAATAATAGTAATAATTAAAGTAAGTATATTTCTGATAGAAAATATACCATGTTTTATGTTTTGCATGTTCTAGGTGTAACTTCTTTTTTTTTTTTTTAGAGACAGGGTGACCCAGGCTGGAGTGCAGGGGTGCTATTCACCCCTCAGACTCCCAGGTAGCTGGGACCACAGGCATGCACAACCATACCTGGCTTTTTTTTTTTTTTCTTTTTTCTTTTTTTTGAGATGGAGTCTCACTCTTGTTGCCAGGCTGGAGTGCAGTGGCGCAATCTCGGCTCACCACAACCTCCACCTCCCGGGTTCAAATGATTCTCCTTCCTCAGCCTCCTGAGTAGCTGGGATTATAGGCATGTGCCACCACACCTAGCTGATTTTGTATTTTTAGTGGATATGGAGTTTCTCCATGTTGGTCAGGCTGGTCTTGAACTCCCAACCTCAGGTGATCCGTCTGTCTCGGGCTCCCAAAGTGCTGGGATTACAAGTGTGTGCCACTGCACCCAGCCTTTAATTTTTTTTTAGAGATGGGGTCTTGCTGCATTTCCAAGGCTGGTCTCAAACTCATGGGCTCAAGCAATCCTCCTGCCTTGGCCTCCCAAGGTGTAACTTCTAGATGAGTGTCTGCTTATGCATAAACAACATATCCTTCCAGATCTTCATTTAGTTATGTAATTGCTTCTATGACAGGAACCAGTAAACCTTGATAAAGATTAAAGATCCATCAATTAGTTATTGCAATATCTGATTTGTTGGACTGTTTTGGTTAGTTTTTGCCTTCTTCTGTTTCTAGGCTATTCAGGCAGCTATCAGCCAGGCCTTTAAAACCCCAGAGGTCATCAGATTGTTTGCAAAGAAACAACCAGGTCAGCTTCGGACAAGGTTAGCAGAGGTAAAATTTCTTTAAATTGATTTGATTGCTGTGTGTTTTTCATTTCCTAAGCCAATTCATTATGATACCCTATGGCTTAAAAATTGGCCAGGTGATTTTAGAGCCACAACTAACAATTTTCTGACAAAATTAGTACTTTGAGCAATTACAGTTGATAATGAATGTAGAGCTTTAAACAATATATGGCAGTTTAAATTGCCACTGACCACTTCTACCTGGACTCCACCTTTAATGTTTTACCATCTACTTCTAGAGCTCTAACTTAAAATCACATTGAGAATTAATTAGCAGCATTGCTTGTATGCATGTGTGGCCTATCTCATCTAAGAATTTCAAGTATCTTTGTAAATCTGATACTTCCAGAAGTCTCTTTATAGGCTTGGATGTAATTAAGAGTTACCAAGTGGCCAGGCACGGTGGCTCACGCCTGTAATCCCAGCACTTCGGGAGGC